CAGTATTTCGAGATACATTCATAAAATTAATTCGACATTGTTGTCCACGATTTTTATTATCAATCTTTCCATCATCATCGCCTGGTAGACAAATTCAACGTACATGAACATAACTGACATTTAACACATATAACGAATCGGTTTCAACTGTTTCGTCTATAGGACAACTAATTTTCCCTCTTAAACACTCCGCTTCGTTGTTTCCCTCCTACTGTTCCTGTTTATGAAAAATTACCTTTCTCGAACGAGGCACGACGATCGCTAACGTCAATCATTATTTCCAAGTCTGAAATAAGAGAATTCGTTTTTGAAGATGTCCGTCATCAAAATTCTCAATGTTTACCGACTATAATGTAAGATGGAAGAGTAGAGCAACAAAAATCTTTCTAAGCAAAAGTAAAGTGAACGGCTTCTTAATATATTCACATTCGAACGAGGTCAACGCTATTGAACGAGTGCTACTTTTGTGTTGGTTAATTCGTATTGAATCGTAGTTTGACTTTAGCAATATTTCACATTAATGGCTTCGACTGAAAGCAAAGAATACTCCTTTAATTATACTATCTAGCCACAGTACTGATGCTAAAGCATCCGTTGTTTTCTCTCGCATGCACGAGAAAATCATCATATCACTTGTGTGCGGGATACTTACAGACTTTTATTTCTTTGTTATTTATCTGTATCTGTTTTTATGTGTATTGCTAAAAGCTTGTACATACGGAAAAGCGGTGATTGCTGTACTGAATGTTCTCTGTCTTGCTGTTTAGTCATTTTTTTCCTCCTTGTTTTTACCTATAAGTTTGTATTATCGATTTTGTTCAATTCTAAGAATAAATTAGATCTAGTAATATATTGTAGAGTAAACATTTGGTGAAAAAGAGACGTACCCTAGCCCAACACGATGTTTTAGTTTTAAAGTTATGGGGCTCTATTAACCTTTACCTACGCATGTTTTCTTCGTTTTAAGACAAACTCTAGCGCGTCAGCTTCTATCCTTAAGAGATCTCTTCGAAAATACGAACAGGTCTATTTTCACCCATATTCCGGGGGACATCTCTTAAACGCTGATAAATGAAGTCTGGAAAGCGTTGTCGTAACTATACTTTGATCAACATATCTTGAAGAATTTCGCTCAGACTGAACGTAGGACGGCGCAAGAGAGCCATAGATTTTGTTTTTTGAGAATACAAGAGAAGTCGTTTTTATCACGTTGTGTTTCTCATAGTTTTCATTTAGAATAGATGAATTTCCGCCTGTATTGTCGAAGAATAAAGCTTAAATTAAGCATATTTTTACAACCTTCGAACTCACAGTCATAAATTCCCTATTCGGTTTGCGTTCATTCTAAAGGATTTGCTTAATTTCGATGCTTCATTACTGAGATATCATTTTTTGAAAACTACGTCAAAAAAATGATGCTTTATCAGTTTTTGGCCTCTGAAATCTGACCATAAAGCACGCTGAAGTATACGGTTGTATTGTAGCCAGGTGCTAATATATGCTGGCCTGTGGTAAAAATTTAGCTTCTTAAATGTGTTTAACTATAGGCCTACAGGCACCTCTCTCATTCATTGTAAAACGCATTATTCTTCCGATTGTTATATATTTTAGTTAGAATAATTATAGCTTAATATAGGAACAATATCTTAACCATAAGTTTTCACAATGTACCGGAAAGAACTCGTAGTTTAGAATATGTAGCATAAATCCTCTTAAACTATCTGACCGCTGGAGTATTACATATGAAATCACTTAACCGAAGTTTCTGGGTGCTTGCTTAGTAATTTCGTTACTTCTCTGAAGTTTCATACCGATTTTTTAGAATAAATAAAGTTTGTACGAAGAAAAAGTACTTATTTGAAATATGGTTTAGTACGTACATAATACTTTTAATTATGCTTAAAATAAAGATGAAAACAGCGTTTTTTTGTAAACTGCTGTTGAATATACAAGAAACATGATAAGCAGCGTACGAGTATAGACTCACTCACTATATTCCGAAAGCTTTATTTTCCTTTGTTTCTTTCTGTTTGTGGGCAGTCAGCCGGTTTGTTTATAAAGATGAGACTTTTCTTATGCCATTCTTCCTGATTTATGAAATATTTAGCCTGCCTCAAAGTTTTCAATAGAAAGTTTTCTTTATTGAGCTCGTTACGACTATAAACGAAAAGCAGAGTAAAACTGAAACTGAATGGAACGAACATTTAGAATAAAGTTATTTATTTGACATTATCACTCTTCATCAGTCTTATCACTATCAGGAACACCATCAACTACAACAGCTTTAATTGTAAATGAACATTTACCATGAACATAATACCAATCATTATCATTTGGTATTTGATAGTGAATTTTTTTTGAATGATGGATTGAAAAATGGAGATCGTGACCTTGAACGAAACGATTCCTACCATATATTTTCATACTTGTATGTAATTTTAATTCGTGCAATAGTTGTAAATTTCGTCTTGCTTTACCGCCACGAATCTAAAACGGCAAAGCATAATTGAAAAATGCAATTAAAAACTTTTGGTTTAGGTGGAAAGCTCCATCTGAAACTGGGAATTCTTTTTTAAAGTCTAACAGAAGATATGTAATGCGGAATTTTTCCACATGTTCAGTAACTGTGATCGCCTGTCTTTGCATATTTTATGAGGATGAGATCACTTTTTCGAGAATATAAAACAGAACATGTGAACATATAAGGTTGCAAAAATACAAAAAGTCAGTAGAATTTATCCTTTACTTCCTTTTCGTATCTTTGGATAGAGCTCAGCAAACTAGTTAAGAAAATATCATCTTAAAGTTTTTCAACATAACTTTGTCAGTTAAAAATTGAATTACTAGTTCAGGTACGACTTACTGAAAACTGGTACTTTTCTTAAAAATCGTTCGATTTTTCCACTAGATACTTATTTATATTTCCGAAATTATTTATTTATGATTCTTCATCAAAAAGTGAGTCTAAAACACTAGATGTCAAAATTTTCAAACCCACTCTTGGCTCACACGGCATCGAAGACTAGGGAATGCTCATAAATTGCATCCACTGTTCGAAGCCTATCTCCTTCTTGGAATTTTGATGCAAAAAATTGTTTTATATTGTATTCGATTCGCCTTGAGATGAAGAACAAAAGTACGTTGAGCGTTTTTTCCTCCAATGTTTTATTCTTCATTCTTTCTGAATCTGAGGCAAAAAAGTAAGAATTCTGCTCGTAATTCTCAATTTTCTCCATCAGAACTCAACTTTTATGCAATAAAAACATCATGTTCGGGATCAGAAACTGAGTCGACTAATGTATCGTTCTACCCTATCCAACTACTTTAGTTTTTGTCGAATTTTTATGTCGAAAAATTATCAAAGTTTTCACCAAAAAATGCAAATCAACTAAAATTTTCGAAACGCACATTAGTCGACTCAGTGTTGTTTTATCGTTGTGTTGTTTACCGTTATATGTTGACGTGGGCTTGGGGTATTCTCATTGAGAATACAAGAGAATACACAAATGTAAGAATTTCCGACATGCAACTTCGAATTTATTCTCATCCACGAAATGTTGCATAGCGGCTCACTCTCATGCTGCACCTCCTCCTCCCCCCTCTCCCCGACAGCGACACTATATTTGCGTATTGTTGTGTATTGTCAATGAGAATACACCAAGCCCAGCCAGTTTAAAAAAAATAGTCATTTTTTGAGAATACACTGCGTACTGATATTCGGACATCTCTGAAGAATAGCGTGGTATCCTGCAACTAGAACTTTAGAGAATGAATTTATGAAACATTTATGGATGACAGATAACTAAAACCTTACCTCTGTGCGGGCGCACTCCACGCGCGTTACAGATTTAGTTCCCCGTTACCCTTTCGTGAACTCTGGCTGGAAATGGAGTCAGAATAAAATACAACTTCCTACGACAAAATTCTTCATTTTGTTTCAAAACTTAATTATCCTACTTTATTTATTGTTAGTGCTTTGTTAGTCCTGCTGATGTTTATAAACAATGGAAGCCAATAACAATACAGGCTCTGATTCACGCTGACCTCCGCAACATCAATAACCAGTTGTATCTTACGAGGGAACCTCTTTAGGTATTAAATCGCTTTTCGCTCGGGACCATTGCCATTCGATTTTTTAACCTGAGTAAGAAAAAGTTGTTTTTAACTTTTGAAAACCTATTTTCCGGTCGAAAAACGTGAAGGGCGCATTTTTTCGAAAACCGTTAGTTTTAAAAAAATTCACTGTTTTTTCGTTCAAAGTTCTTTTAAGCTATATTTTTCGGATCCAGCATTAAAAACTGAATATCAAAACGATGTACAATTGAATTCAAACTCAAAAGTCGATTGAGTCTGGCTTTTCTGTGTAGAGATGAAGCCAACTTTTTTACTTCATTAGGGTCGCCGTTAAACGAGCTTTAAAGGCATGCATCGCTTTTTTTCCAGTTTTCGTTATCACTGAGAAAATTAATTTTTTCTAAGTAAGAAGCGGAAAAGTGAAAATTCTGCCCGTAATTCGTAGTTTTCTCCATCAGAACTCAACTTATATGCAATAAAAATATCACATTCAGAATCACATTAAAAACTGAGGCGAATGATATATGTTTTTATCCTGTTCGACTACTTAAATTTTTCTTGAATTTTCGCGTTGAAAAATTACCAAGAATTTCACCAAAAAATAAAAATGAACGAGAAACTTTTGAAATATATATCATTCGCGTCAGCTTCTGATGGTGATTCTGAATGTGATATTTTTATTGCATACAAGTTGAGTTCTGATGGAGAAAACTGCGAACTACAGGCAGAATTTCCATTTTTTCGCTCTTGACTTGGAAAAAATGAATTTTCTCACTGATAAACCAAAATGGAAAAAAAGTGATGCATGCTTTGACAGCTCGTTTAATGGGGGCGCTAATGAAGTAAAAATATCCGTTTCATTTCTCCACAGAAAAAAAACTAGATAGGTTTACAAGACAGGCATATAATCTTTTCAATGGTTTGATCTCCGAAGCTAGACTCAATTGAACTCATTTTGTTTCAAAACTTAATTGTCCTACTTTATTTATTGTTAGTGCTGTGTTAGTCCTGCTGATGTTTATAAACAATGGAAGCCAATAACAATACAGGCTCTGATTCACGCTGACCTCCGCAACATCAATAACTAGTTGTGCCGTACGAGGGAACCCCGTTAGGTATTAAATCGCTCTTCGCTCGGGACCATTGCCATCCGATTTTTTAACCTGAGTGAGAAAAAGTATAGAAGGATTTGGGTGCACGGCTCTTCTGGACTGAGATATCGAATTATCAAGTTATGATCGAAATAGACTAAAATATCACAGGAGGGGGCCGTATAAGGTTATGAATCGGCGCACTCTCTGTTTTGACTGAAAATCGATCCATATGTAGCAAAAAAAGTGCCTCTATTCTGTTTTCGGTAAAATCAGATACTTTTGTTAGGTAAAGCCCGGTTAATTCCTAAACAATAGCATCTCAATAAGCAGCGTTACAAAGCCATTGAGGAAAAGCCATGTTATACTCATATGATGAGTATAACAGATTTTCCTCAACCACCTTACACTGAAATGGTAAACTAAACACAGCATTAGATAGCCCGTAAAATTCTCTACAAACTGAGCTACTCAGAATATCTTCACTGGTGAGACCAGTCATCAAAGACCTAGAAAACAAACATTCGAGGGTAATGTTTTGGTAACTTTAACCCCCGTTGTAGCCGTTCGTAAATCGACTGAAGTTGCGTGAAAAAGCATTACAGACATTCGGGAGACGTCTTATTGTGTTCAGAATTCTATGCTCTATCAGGCTATATGGTTTGGAAAATTTTCTGACCAAAAACCATGGACTTGGTTTCCATCGGTCAGGCTTTCCAGAAACCCTATTATCAACTTTTCTCATGAAACGTCGATATGCACCTCATTTGATAGAAAAATCTTCGGCCTATTCGAAACAGTATTCAGATTGGCTTCAGCTTTTACTAAAAGATCTAAAACAAAGGAGTTCTTGTGATTATCACACACTGTACTGCATAGATAACAGCCAAACG